AGTCTTTTTGCCAAAGTCTATTTTTTGCCTCAAGACAGGCAATAATTTCCACACAGATGGCACTTTCTTTTCTTTGATGTAAAAGTCTTGTATTGTCTGCCATATAACGCATTTGTCAAAATCATCAATTTCGCACTTATGATTAGCAGAGCTTTTACGTTTCTTTCCAGGTGTATTTAGAAGTTAATCTTCACCCATTGTTGATACGTCGTGCTTAATTTTTTTAATTGTATACTCCGATACTCCAGTAGCTTGCGATGTTCTCTTCAAAACTTGAAGAAGAGGAACTACTAAAGAGTTTGCCGAAGCTTCAGAAGCACAAAATTCTGCGACATTCAACACGATTTGACGTGCCTGAGACTTTAAAGATTGACCTTTCTTAAACTGGAAGGGCATTTTAAAAAATTGGCGATTAACAAAGCACTACAAAAATCAAGCTAAATAGAAGCAAATTTGAACAAATACCAGTACAAAAGATATAACAACGAAAATAAAAATAGCTAATAGTAATAATATAAGGCTTAAGAAAAGATGCGTGCAGCTGGAATGAAACCGAACACTCATTATAAACTCTTTTCCCTTCAGCCAACAGTCGCCAAAAACAAAATAACAATAAAGCAACCCTTGGTTCGTCCCTATTTGAAATATACTAGCCCTGTTGCTATAGCGACCCCCACCCGCCAGACACAGTGGCGGAAGGTGTTCTTACCTTAGACAACACTAGAGCCCTAAATTGTCTTCACCCTGCATCTCAGTTTAATTTGCCTTATTTGACTCCAAAGATGAAGGTATTTCGAGAGGGAATATTCTCTGGAGTGGTTGAACTAATTCTCCAGACGTAGTTCTGACACGTACTACTCGAATGTTGCCGTCTTTTCGTGGATATAGCTCAATCACTTTTGTTAGAGCACACTCGATGAGAACTATTTTCCCAATTTTTATCTGTTGAAAAATCAGCACTGTAGATGGACATTGCACTAGCAGGCCAAGGTATTCACTTCTCAAATCTCTCTCAAGAGTTCTCATAAATTCTGTAGATGTCTGTCTCTTGTTAAAATCAGCTTTATCAAAGTGATTTAAGTCGGAACTCTAAAGACTGGAATTTCACCTAAAAGCAAGGACTGTGTCAAAGGGGTGAGATCATTAGAGTCCTCTGACACATAAGTAAGTGGTCTGGCATTCACAGTTGCTTTGCATTCGCACAGCACACTTATCAGTTCTTCATAATTCAGACATGACTCGCCTAGTCCTCGACGCAAATGCTTCTTAATCATTTGAACTAGTTGTTCCCAAAAGCCATCCTACCATGGTGCTGTAGGTGGACTGAATTTCCAGTTGATCTTTTTTGTGGCGGCTTATATCAAGGGAGGTGATGGTATTCCAACTAATTGATTTTAAGAGATTATTTGATCCGACAAAATTGCCTCCTTTGTTGGTATAAATTATTGATGGCTTCCCTGTACAGGCAGTAAATCTAAGACCAAGTAAAAATCCTTGAGTCGAAAGGGGCAAAATCAGTTTCAAATGAATTGCTCTGAAAACAGCACAGGTGAAAAGTAAAATACAGTCAAAAGTCTTTAATCTGGACTCGTCGAGACTTCAGCGATTCCGGATTATAGATCATCAATTTAAATCTGGTAAGATGGCATGCAGAAATTATAAAATTAAAAATATGAAACTGTAATTTATGAAATAAAGAACAGTTATGATCTAAAGGGTATCAAAATTTACAAAAAAAAAAAGCTTAATATTTATTTGTTTACTTTATTAAACATTTCTTTCAACGCGTGCATGCATAAAGCATACATTACGCATAGTCAAAATTAGAAAATTGCAACCAGAAAACTATTTGATGTGTATTCGGGATATTTATAATGAATTTGACTTAAATCATATCAAAGACAGAGTACATCGAGATGAAATACTACATTTAGTAATGAACTATAAGCAGAATAAAATAAAAACATCTTCCCTGAAGATAAGGATAGTGCTGACAGATCATTAACTAAAATAGATAATTTTTAGCTAAGCTTATACCATCCGTTATACATTAAACGCGCATGCGTAAACGTATTATGCGCATGCGTAAAAGCATATGTGAATGCTTGAGCGCATTATGCATTGACGCATGTGCAGAAAGTTGTAGCTTTGTGGTCTGTATTATGGGTGTCCAGATTAACAACAAGCTTTTCTTTTATCTTTAAAAATTAATAGGCCAGCTAAATCAACTCCGACAATCTCGAAAATACAAACATCTCTAACTCAGTTTTCTGGTAGATTAGCAGGCACAGTCTCTAGTCATTTACTTCCATGTCTCGTGTACCTGACATATGCATATAAAACTTTTTGAATTGTAGCTCTGCTTTTCAGGATCCAAAACGTCTCTCTAAGTATTCACATCAGTAAGTGAATTCCTGCATGAGACATAGATAGATGTTTATTAATTATAAATTTCTCCACAGTTTCATGATTCTTTGGAAGTAATATCAGGTAAATAAAATTTTCATGGTCGTTCCTCTCAGTCGACCTTTCAGTTGACATATAAAATGCCTTCGTCATCTTTGAACACACTAATTAACTTCAGCTTCTTAATATCATCTGATGAAAAAGAATCATTGAATAATCTTCACAATAGATTTCTCAGCTCTTGTCAATTCATAAACTTTTAACTGTTCTGCTTCTCTTTCTTTCCTCTTTCAGGTATTTCCTATGAATCTGTGTATCTACCCAATCATTCTCAATATTTTCTTATACTTTGAAAAATAGCCAAAGAATCATGAAGACATACATCACTAGCATTGCTTAACTATAACTGCTAATTAACCTCTTTATTATCGATTGAGATAGAACGAGGCCATTCCTGTTCAGGCAATCCCAACCAAAGTGGGTCTTTCCACCATCTTGATTAGTGATGGGCAACTTCGGTACTTTCTTGTACCCGGTACAAAATACCCGTTACTCAAGTAACCATTACTTTGAAAAGTACCGAAAACCGATTTCAAGTACCGAGTACCCAAGTAACGATTTGGAGTACCGAAGTAACGAAATACTGGAGTAACGGTTTGCTGTACCGGAGTACCCTAGTAACGATTTGGAGTACCGAAATACGCAGCTAACGATTTTGCGCACTGAAGGAACTCTGCCACGTCACCACATGTTTGATTTTATCTGTACGGAGGAAGATTTTGAATATCAGAAAACATGTCAACTACGTCTGAGGAGCAGGAATTCATGGACACAAAGAGTGCATATCACCATTTCGCAAATACAACCAGATACTACTGTCCTCGTACCAAAACCGAAGTGAGCTGAACCCTCATCGATCCTCCAGTAATGAATACCGAAATACCGAGAAGAGACGCATATTTTCGTTACAAAGTAGCGAATACCGAAAAGTACCCGTTTCGGTACAGAAGTAACGAATACCGAAAAGTACCGATTTCGGTACTGAAGTAACGGGTACTTGGACGTACCGATTTTCAGTACCTGTTACAAAATACCCAGTTCGGTAGTACCGACTCATCACTAATCTTTTAAAAATTTCTAAACTAAAAATTTCTTTACAGAACATCCTCTTAATCGCATATTGGGTGGGTTTTCTGCACCCAGTACATGGTGCCAATTTTCACGGTGCGATAGGATTCCAAGTTCTGAAACCCTGTTATTTACAAAAGTGCTCCAAACTTCTACGTTCTTTATCCAGAATAGTGCTGTTGAAGAATCGGTACAGTAATGAAATTTCTACCTTAACCCGTTCAGTACGGGCGTGTCATATATGCATCAGCAGCAAACATTATCTCGCGGCCAGGTGTGTCATATTTGAATCGCCATTTAGTTCACTCTATGGCTGGGCGTACCACATTTGACTTTTTAGATAGAACATTTAATTAGTATTTTTTATTGCCGCTAGATGTAGCTGTATGTCTGTTATGGTGAAATATAACGAAAGTTAAGATGTTTACCTTCATTCCCACCCAATGTTTTTTTATATTTGGTATTTTTCGGAATGAGAGCGAGATTCGTGGGTGGGTGTTGAGCAATGTAATGTCCCTTTAACTGCGTCATAATGCACGTGTTCTCGCTGCATCGAGGTACATTTTTATTTTTTCAATATAGTGGGATAGATGTTCTATCATTAGAGATTTTTTTTATTACACTTAGATTTTTCGTTTTTTTTTTTTTTTTTTTTTTTTTAAATTACTGTTAGATTTTTCGGGCTTTGAGTTGAGTATTTTTTTATCATCAGCGAAACCTATTTTTTTTTAATGGCAAATGAAAGCAGTATCTAAACGTAGAATATACACAAATGCTAATTCATTAGTGTTGAGTAATGTAATGGCTCTTACTGCATTTTATATAAACAAATGAACATGTTCTCGATGCTCTGGAATACTTTTAATTTAATTTATTAATTTTTATTATTTTTATTTTATTTTTTTATCCATTATAGTGGAGTAGATGTTCTATCATAAGAGACTTTTTTTATTACTCTTTGAGTTTTCTGGCATTGAGATGAATATTTTGTATCGCTTGGTGAAAGGTCTTTTTTTTTTTTTTTTTTTTTTTTTAATGGCAAAACGAAAGCACTCTCTGACCGTAGAACATATACAAATGCTAAATGAGTGTGACATATGCCACGTTGGACTTTGTGTACACCCATGTTTCAAAGAATATCATACACTGTCTCATTTTGAAATATTGCTTACTTTTCGTTATTTGCTCTTTGAATTTTTATGAAAGACAGTTTTAATATTTTTTAATTTTAATTGTGTGTTTTGTTAAATAAAATCTGTGATTGTTTGGATATTTTGCCATATATATTTATTTGTGGGATAAGGGGAAATTATATTATTCTAGAATGAGTATTTTATAAAATTTTTAAGGAAAATATAATAATAAAGCTTTAAAATTAATTCTGACAATTACCTGAATATTCTCATAATGTACCAAAAATTGGAACAATTGGATGAAAAATTAAATTTATACAAATTTTTTTCCAGAGTTAGGCTTAGCAGCGCGAATTGCGCATCTCCACAAGACGACGCATCCGGTTAACGTGCTGTCCCAAGACAACGCTTTGGTAACAGAGATGCCCGTCGTGAACGGTTAAGGTTCTTGACAAATGAGCCTTATCACACTCCAATAAGACAAGCAAGGGATTCAAGTCGAGGTATATATTTTTTCTCAATGGAGCTACTCATGATTTGGCTTGCAGTAGACAGGGTTCGACTCATGATTTGGCTTGCAGTAGACAGGGTTCGTACGATTCTTAAGAGTCCTTAAAAGTCCTTAAGTTTTTGGAATCGATTTTTGGTCCTTAAAAGTCCTTAATTTCGGCCAAAATCGGCAGAAGGTCCTTAACTTTAAACATCGGAAATAGCTGTCTGTTTTTTACGACTGCCATTTTGAGTGTGAATTAGCATTTTGGAGGAATATATTTGGTGGTTCAACTGACAGATATGGTTATCTTTTGAATGGGTGAATGGGTTATAATTCGTTCCTATTTCTAATATAAATCGTGGGATTTTCGAGTTTTATAGTAAAAGAAGTGCAGCATAAGTATTTTAAAATGATTTCATTTTTGCTAATGAAAAGCTCTTAAACAACTTTTGGCTTTTCGCGATGTGAATTCTTTTATTAAACGACTCTGAATTCGGCAACTTGTCGGCATTTTGGCGATTTTAAGATCAGTTTCTGTAGAAAATTTTTAATTTCGAGATCTGGGAATTTTTCGACATTTTTAAAACATTGTAACATGGATAATTTTCATTAAAATAGTGGTAAAATATTGAAATTATGTTTAAAAAATAACATTAAAATAAAAAGTTTTTAATTTTCGCTGTCATATTATAAAGTTTCATTTTGGCCACTTTTTTTACAATATTTTGAATCTGCAAAATAAGCAAGGTATATGAAACAATTAACGAAACAGTTTTAGCAAAAGCAAAATAGCTATGTAAATAATATAAAATGTCTTTTTAAATTTTTTCATGGTAAGAGTTTTTCCAATGTAATTGTCTCAGAGTATTCAAAATTATCAGAATATTCAGTTTTCTCTATAAAATTAATTTTACATCTTTTCCCTCTGATATTTTTTCTCAAAATATTTCTGGCTTTTTACTGTTACAGAATTTTTCTTTAGAATTTTAGACATTGCAGCTTAGAAAGTTTAGAAGGATTTGAAGGCAAAATTTATAGACCCAAGATTCTAGAAAATTACAGAAAAATGTCTCCGTGCTATTAACACGTAACGAATGTATTTTGCAGAAAGTTTACAATGTATTTCTTACTTTTTGGAGAAGGTCTGGAAGAACAAAGAAAACATAATATTTGAATGTTTTACTTCTGATACTAGAATCTTTTTCTTAACACGTTTATCTTCCCTTTATTTTCTCTAATTTTCACTAGACACAGACATGGAAAATATCAAAAATGTTTTATTCTTATCTTATCTTATTAGGGTAGGTGAAATCTATTAGGTCAAAAAATCTCTGTATAATTAATAGTACATTGCGTCTTGTCACTGAGAGATCAATTAAGTTGATATTAGGAATGTCATAAAACAATGAATCTTCATATTTATCCCACAGAAGACCACGTACTTTCAATGGTTTGCTAATTGTAGATTTTTCACTGCTCAGTTCTGTTTATTCCCACCCATAAATCAAAATTAGCACTTGCCATTAAGTGAGTTGATTTTGCAATAAAGTATTCTGCTTCACTTGAACATTCATTACTGAAGTGACACAGTTGTCAACATAGAGGGAATTTTTCAATTTTGTAGCCACTTCCTTCAAAGAAGGTTCACATTGGTCTAAATAAGGGTTGATCACTGCTCCTAAAAAAAAACGGACTATATTTTAGTCTGAAGACTACTCTGCAATGGCGAAATTTTTTTTTTTTTTCCTTTTGTTTGGAGTTTTTCCACCACAGAAATCGACAATCATTTCTTTGAACAGATATTTGAAGAAAAGCACTTTTAATATCTGAGATAATCCCTGTTTTTCCTTGCCTAAATCCAAGAAGCAATCTAGGTATCAATTCAGTTAAATTTTGACCTTTTGCTAAATATAATCATTAAGTGACAGGAAATCCTTTTGCTTGCATAAGGCATCAGATACAGGTCTTATTGCTGTTGTACAGTTATATTTGAAGACTGGTCTGTGGGAAAGATAATAATTAACTAGTTCCTCTTCTTCTGGTACTTCTTCCATTAGTCCAAATTCGAGCCACTCTTCGAACACTGCATTGTATGTTTCAAATTTATCTTTCAACATCAGCTTCTTTGTGATGGAAGTCAATTGTTTTTCTGCAACTTGTCTGTTTCTTGATAAAGCTTCTTTATCGTTGATCCAAGGTAAACTAACGTCATATCGATCGTCTACCCTCTTCAGAGTCTTGTGAAAGTACCGTAATTTCGCGCGTATAGTCCGCGGACTATCTGTGTTTAAAATGCGAATTTTTGAACCTGCGGACTATCCACCAGTGCGGAAAATACGCTGGTTATTCACGGTTAAAATTGTTGAAATTTAAAAAACACGCTGTTGTGAACTGCCGATGATGAAATATAAAAATAGCGTGAGATTCCAAGTATCCTTCGCACTGCTTTAGCACAACTGCCGGGAGGGGGAAAAGTCGATGCGTCAACTCGGTTTTTAGGAGCCATAGTAGCAAGTACCTGGAGTACGAAAAAAAAGCGTGATTTGTTTACTTTAGCGTGGTTTGGCAACACCGAGTGAGTGGGTGGGGTCGAAGGTCACATTTCATTACCACTTATCACGAAGATAGCACGTTGCACAGTATTTTGTTTTCGTATTTTGTCTTTCATCTTCGCTAACGTTGATGAAACATCGCCGGAGATTTACTGCTGAGAGGTAGTTGAGAAAACTGAAAAAGATGGAAATAGAGAAGCGGGCCATTATTGGTTTAATCCTAGTATCCGGTGCACAGGGGATTTGACTACTTTTGGCGACTTTATGATGAGCAGTAAAAACGGGACATATACGATGAGTAGTTAACGGGTCATTCAAAGAAAATATATAGTTAAACATAGTATATACTATGTATATAGTATATATACTATGTGTGTATAGTATATATATAGACGTTCTTTGGATCATTTTTGGTGTTGGCAAAGTCGCGCCAAGGCTGCACCGTATACTAGGATTTTACTCTATTATTTTGAAGTGGACAAGAAAGCGGTGAGAAATTTGCGCAAACAAAAGGATGTGTTTAAAAAGCATGGGAATATTGCCGTATTAAAAAAACGTAATTTCGGACGTATAGTCCGCGGACTATCCAGTGGTGCGGACTATCTGACAATTTTTAAAATTTTTTTTATATAAAATCGTGTCTGCGGACTATACGTGCGAAATTACGGTAATCCCACACTGCTTCTAATTCTGAATCAGTTTTATTTTCTTTAGAATATTAATTCTCAGTGCTTCTAGCTTCCACAAGTTTTCTATGCCACTGCTGTGAGTCAACATGAATGCTATTGTGGATGACATGGACAAGGAGTTTCTTTGTGAAACGTAATCAACTATCTTTCCTGTGACTTGTTCATCCAAGTAGTGATTACACAGCAGTCAGCCCATTTTCTAATTTCTGAATTCTTCCGGTTAACATTTCACCTGCAACGTCAGCTCCAATTAACACTTTGTGGGCCGCTGTCATGTACGCATGACTTATTTTTGCCAATGACGATGCTTCACATCGACGTTTGTATAGATAGACATACTATAGCAAAACATTTGATGCTCAGGAAACATTGGTTTCAACTGTTTTCCTCTCCCAATTCACCAGACTGTCTATTATTGAAATCTTTTTTCGTGGATGCTTGTTTTGTTAGTTTGAGACTGTCTTTCGCTGCCTTCAAATATTGGAAACTTACGTTAGATTTAAAGATATCCTTCAAAATGCTCTTTGATGAGGAAATATATGCTGATCTGTTATCAGAAGAGGAAAATTGTTCTGATAGTGAAAGTGATTTGGACTGTGGGAGCGATATAATTGTGAGATGATTCAAAAATAAGGGAAGACCAATAATTAGTGAATCTGAAAGTGATGAAGAGAATTCTGTGGCAAATGATTGGTCAGAAGTTGATTTTAAACCTAACTTTCATGCTTGCTTGGAACGGTTTGGGTTACAGGTACCATACACACCAGATAAATTATCAACTGTGGAATTGTGATAATATCATTGACGATTATGGACATGATTTATTTAATTTCTTTGCCACACAAACAAACTTATATCATAATCAGCAGAATAATGATAACAACAATGCATCAACAAAGAATAAAGCTTGGATTGATACAAATTGTTGTAGAAATGGAAAAAAACTTTTGGGGCTTGTTATTCTAATGGGAATAGTAAGAAAACCAGAACAAGATGATTATTGGTCTACTCACCCTGGATTACCAGGGTTCGTAGCGGTCCTGACAAGTGCTTTATAAGTCCTTATATTTGAAAATAAAATATAAAGGCCCTTATAGGTGCTTACTTTTTCTTTAAAGCCCTTATTTTTTTGTTTTTGTTTTTAGTGCTTATTTTTTGCTTTTAGTGCTTTTTTTAATGAACGTGCATTTTCCCCCCGTACAAAAGCCGAAACTAAAACAACTTTTCTTCCTTATATGGAACGTCAGATGGTGAATCATACTCCCGGAAATAGCTTTTCCCCCTTTCTCTGCATTAACGTAACCTATGGTGCGCGCGAGAGTAGAGACAGGTACACGTTGTTCTATTGGTCAAAGAATTGCGAAAACCGTAGAAAATTCCGGTACATTCGGTATTCTTTTCCCTCCCACCCAAATACTACACACATTTGAATTTCTATCAAGATTTTAATAATTTACATTCTCGTTCCGCGGGGTCAGTTCATATTCGTGTTTATTATGATTGTTATGCTTATATTATGAGCATATGTATGAATATTTATAATAATATAGTTGCAGTAGCTGCTGAAGTGTAGATAAACTTTCAAAAATGGGTTTATTTTTACACAGATTAGCTTTCTAAGGAATAATATTCGGAATGGCTTAAATAAAAGGAAAGTAATCGAATAGTCAAAATAATTTAATTAATTTCTTTTTTTTTCCAATACATTATACAGTACAGAGGTTGAGAGGTTCTCCCCTTTCTCTGCAAAATCTCTAATATTGAAGCAG